AGCAGCCTTTGTTCCCTGTGACATAGATGTACCAACGGAGAATGCAGAAAACAGTGAATGGGAGGCGGAGCTTCTAGCCAGTCTACAACCCAAGAAGCAAACCAATCGTCTGACGAAGAAGATGTCGATCCAGCGGTCCTTCGAGTTGTGCTTTATATGCTGAAAGACATCAGATACTTTGCTTCGACAAGCGAAGTAAGGTTACTCAACAGTTCAGACCTTGCAGACGAGATCTTGAGTCGAGATCAAAGCCATGGTCAACCCTGGACGAAATATGAAACAAATAATATTATGTGGCTTTTACTGTTAACTCAACCAGAGGAGAAGATGCCACGCGGATGACGTCACTAATGGCGTTAAATGTTGACGTCAGCATTCCTTCTGTGAGCCAGCAGATATGATTCGTCGATGGTAAGAAGGTAAAGTCTACACAAGGACTCTTTACTTGACGCCTGCTTCTTGAGAACAAGAATAAGTTCTAAAATACCCAGAGAACTTAATATTTTCAGGAACCTAACTTGAAGTTGACGTGGCGGCTCGAAATATGACAGAATAAACAGTATAAAAACACGGAATATTTTGTTTTTGTTTCCTTTAAACTAAACCAATCACTAGGTGAGTTAATATATTCATTGGATCGAGCAAATCAGTGAGTTATCCCTTGACATGAGAAATGCAAAATATGGAATTACAGTTGTGCAGTCAAATGTATATTGCTGATACAATCACAAACTATCATGTCTAAAAGTCACAACATTAGACAATAGTGAGTGAGTGAGTGATAGAGTATGGTTTTACGCCGCTTTTAGCAATATTCCAGCAATATCATTTCGGGGGACACCAGAAATGGGCTTCACACATTGTACCCATGTGGGGATTCGAACCTCGGCTTGACGAGCAAACGGTTTCATCAATAGGCTATACCACCGCCGCCACAAACTTGTGGAGATACTTTGTGCGTGTGAGGTTTCTTTACCAAGACAAATGAGCTCTACGTTAGAGTACATGAAATACACTTAATGTATTTTGTGTACGAAAATGTTCAATAGTATACTCTGCAATACAGAAACGCAAGAGTCGAAAATTAGAAATACGTGAGTTTTGCTGATGTTCATACACCATGAATACTAAATATGAACTTCTCATGTGTGCATGTATCGGGAGTGAATGGGAGTAGAACAAAAGTACGGCTAAAAATACTGTTAAAGTGGGGGAATCGCGAAAACGCAACCACGAGTTTGGTTTTACGCCGCTTTTAGCAATATTCCAGCTACATCACGGCGGGGGACACCAGAAATAGACTTCAGACATTGTATCCATGTGGGGATTCGAACCCGGGTCTTCGGCGTGACGAGCCAACGCTTTAACCACTAGGCTACCCAATACCACCATGAAAGTAACGTGCAACATGAATGTTTTGGCTATTAAAGCTATGGGTTTTCATGTGCCTGTCATCCCAACTGCACAGCAAGGGAAAGGGTGAACATGCCACGACTGACAGAAGCCGACTGCAGATAGGCGACTCTTCTTCGGCAGTCGCCACTTTTCTCCAGGAATCATCAAAAACTAAGAAACTCTTATCAGACGCGGGGGTCAACACGTAACCTACCAGTGTCACAAGTTTCAGCATGGGGTAGGGCCCCGTTTACAAAGCTCTCGTAGCGCTACGAGAGTCGTAAGTCAATGTTACGTACAGTAGGGGAAGTACGAATGCTACGAGAAAAGTTACGAGATCTTCGGCTTACAAGAGCTTTGTTAAATGGGGCCCAGGTTTATACGGGTCCGACATATTAAACAGCAAACAAACAAACAAATTCCCCATCTACTTGACTGTCTATTAGTCATTACGACAGTGTCAACACGAGCAGGTCACCAGGACCTCTGAAGGGTCCCCTCAATCTACCCAGCAGTGTGTCTGGTAGTGTAAACTGCTTATATTAGACATTATGTCACGTCTTATATATACTTCCAGGAATGAACCACTTGAACTATTGTTCTAGAGCTTCCAAGAAATCTATTCACAGAACGTCACGCTTGTTTGGGAATACAAGACTACTGGTTACTTAAACCTAAAGTACGTCTATCACGGGATTTTGTACAGGCAGGTGGATAGGTGCAGTTGGGTGCGTGCCAACGTTTCCAGGGACGACGTGAAGTTTTGCTCGTGCTCTCCGCTTGTCTTGATTTTTTGAAAGGTCTCTATCATATCAGATTTCTCGCTTATGTCAACACAGTATTTAGTTATTATGGCTTGTGAATGAGTAAATGTTTAACAATTTACCGGCATTACATTAGCCGTATACTTCATGACACACGATACCACATATACTGCTTCATACAACTACATTAGCCTCCATTGCAGTGGAAACATATTCATTTGGAACGAACATTCGATGTCTGGTATTGTTTTTAAAAAAAATGATTGTTTCTTAAAAAAAATGATTGAGTTACTGTTTACAGACAAGTCAGCAATTTACTCTCTCAAGAAAGAAATGCACGGGTGAATTTTAAGTTTTAAACGCACTTTAATTCAAGTCTAAATAAAAAAGTATTTGTTTTGACAACAAACTATATTGAATGCAGGTTTGAACTCCTACTCAATCGCCAAAACCCATCACCTGATAAAAACATTTACCTTATACACGTCATTTTCCGAATGCATTGACGTGTCTCCTGGAAATGAACCCCAATGAGTGATGCACGTGCATATTGGTGAACTTGTGTTCTAAGGTGAGGTATATGAAGAAATGATGGTATTTCTAGTAGCATTTTTGAGCTTTCACGGAGACTTTCGAAATGCCAAGATTGGGAGCTGAAGATCGAAATATTGCAATCGGCTGAGTCAGCCACATCCGTTGCACGTCACTTGCATGTCCCCCATAGCACTATTTCACTATTTGGGGTCGTTACCAACAACTTGGATCCACCCGGGACCGTCCGCGATATGGTAGGACAAGGGTTACAACTGGGGCACAGGACAGTCGCATCCGGTTGTTCCATCCGCGCAACAGGACTGTGGCAGCAAGTGAAACCGCAAGAAATGTCCCAGGACTACAGAATCTTTCTCCACAGACTATTAGAAATCGCCTACGACAGAGTGGACTTCGTCATCACCGCCTTGCTCGTGTTCGTTGGTGCAAGAACGTTCAAAGATGGGATTGGAGACACTGGAAAAGAATTTGGTTCATGACGGTAGAACCAGAGTGTACCGACGTCAAACTGAGCGTTACACACTTAACTGTGTCGCGCAGGTTGACGGATTTGGAGGAGAAAGTGTGATGATGTGGGTGGAATTTTCTAATCATCAAAGAACTAACTTAGTGCATGTACAGAGGAATCTAACGGCCATTCTAACCGAAATCCTGCAACGTCACCTCCTTCCAGTTTTCGACCCACAGAGACAGATGTTCCAGCAGGATTATGTCGGATCCCACACAGCACGCATCTCCAACCAGAACAGTACAGTGCATCCCTGGCCCTCTAAATCCCTGGATTTAAACCCAATCGAACGCTATATGGGATTATCTCGGTCGAGGCTCCGTCACTTCCATTATTCTGTGTCTGTGGCATATGCTCTTTCAAAGCGTGCTGGAATACGTCATATTATATGCATGACAGGAATACTAAAAGAGTGAGTAAGTAAAATTTAACAAAATTCCCAATATCATGGCGGGGAATCAGAAATAGACCTAACACATTGTACCCATACGGGGAATCGAACCCGTCACGAGCAGACGCTTTAACCATCAAGCTACCCCACCGACCCCATACTGAAACAACGTGCTTCAACGTGTAGGGAATTCAATGGATAATTATCTACAACTAATACAAACTGTATAGTATTACCTATTCAGTATACGATAAACAGGCCTGTTCTTGTTGTCTGTCTGAAATCACAGAGTGCCTTGCGTCAAGTAATGACAGAATCATTTTAAATATCTGTGTTTCTGGACTATCAGTATCTTACGTTTACGCCTCCACCTACTTGACTCAGGGGGCGATGGGGTAGCGGTTAAAGGGTCCGTCGTCACGCTGAAGGCCCGGGTTCCATTCCCCATATGGGTGCAATGTGTGAAGCCCATTTCTGGTGTCACCCACCGTGATATTGCTGGAATATTGCTAAAAGCGGCGTAAAACCATACTCACTCACTCACTTGACTCCAGTGTAGTAGTCATTACTGCAGTGTCTGATCAAGAACAAGAACTCAGAATGGTCCCCTCAATCTACCCTGCAGTGTAGCTGATTGTGTATACTGCTTATATTAAACATTATGTCATGTCTTACAGATTCGCGTACTTCCAGGAATAAACCATGAGTTGTGAACTCCTTTTACATTCCGTCAGTTCCATGAGCTTTTTTTGTGAAATGTATTCATACTCGTTATTCAGACGTCGGTTGAAATTTCATTGCGGGTAGAATGTATACTCCAGCGTGTATGAGTGTTTTTGTGTGTGTGAGTGCGTGCGTCTGTGTATGTATATATACTGTTCCAAAAAAAAAGAAACGCATAGATGTTTTGGAGTTTTATTAAATCCATTATTCAACACATAGTTCCACACAGACGTCCCAATATGCCATACATCTCTTAATGGCCACTTTTTACACAATCCCATGCATCAAAACATCACCACCCTGACAATATAGTTTTTTATTAAATTGATTACATTTTTGTGAAACAAATCGCCACAACGAAACCAAAATCATTTGCACGTGCAAATTATGCGATACATGCAGTAATGCGGTGTAGGCCTATAAATTCCCAGATCATTTCCGAAAATTAACATTGTAATGTTGAGTTATTTGCCGAAATCACCATGCCACGTCTTGATGCTGCGACACGAAACATCGCTATTGGTAGATTAGAGGCCGGAGAGTCACAATCGTCTGTTGCAAGACGTCTTAATGTCAGTCAGAGCATAATATCTCGACTTGTAACACGATACCACCAAACGGGCACAACGAACGACCGTTCACGAACCGGAAGACCTAGAGTCACTACAGCCGCTCAGGATCGATACATCCGGGTCCTTCATTTACGTGATCGTATCGTTACGGCTGAGGGGACAGCAGCCAGGGTCCCAGGTCTTCGAAGAATATCCGAACAAACCATACGGAATAGTGACGGCGGTCTGAGAGCCAGGAGACCTTACTTTGGCAACGTATTACGACGTCATCATCTCGCCCGACATCTCCGGTGGTGCAACAACGTGTTGGGCTTGAACCTACGAAACTGGAGGCGTATTTGGTTTAGCGACGAATCCAGGTTTCTGCTGCAAAGACGGGATGCAAAAAACAGAGTGTATGGACGTGTTCATGAACGTTACACCCCAAACTGTGTACGTAAAGTGGATAGATTCGGTGGGGAATGTGTAATGATGTGGGCAGGGATATCCTATGCCAATCGGACGGATCTTATCCACGTGCAGGGGAACTTGACGGCCGTTCGGTACAGAGACAATATTCTGCAACCCCATCTCCTTCCAGTCATTGACGTCCAACATGAAATCTTTCAGCAGGACAACGCTAGGCCGCATTGTGCACGTGCCACAATGGATTTTCTGGCCAACAACAACGTTAATCTGCTGCCTTGGCCTTCTCGTTCACCTGATCTTAACCCCATAGAACATCTTTGGGGTGAACTGGATCGACGTCTCCGTCAGCGTCAACCTCAACCTCAAACCCTCCGGGAGCTAGCTGCATTTCTGCAGGGGTGGAGAAGGATCCCCCAGGGGACTATACAGCGCCTGATCCAGTCCATGACAAGGCGTGTCAGAACTGTTATTCTAGTACGTGGCGGACACAACCGATACTGACATTTCAGTGGACCCTGACTGTCATATACGTACTGCTGTCTATGATTTTATGCTCTGATGTGTCTGCATTATGGGTGTGAAATTTCATGTTCCGATGTATCTGTGTTCAACAATTACACGCATATGAATAATACCATATCACAATCGATTTCTGGCCTGTTTGGAATAGTATACATGCAATATCGATGCAAAGATAAATTATAATTGACGAAATTGTCTCAGTAAACTAGGATCCCAATTGCGTAGATCGATGGTCATGATGTTGATCACTGCATGCATGTCTGGCCCCGACTGCTATATAGCTAGAATATTGCCGAGTGCGGGGTTAAACAAAAATAAACAAACAACACATAACCCGTCAAACCAGTCAGTAAGGGAGACAACTGCAGGTTGGCACGTTGACAAAATATCCTACATTCGGTTTCGATTTCGCGGACTCACATGAGTAGATTTCTCGGAAATATGACTGAAGCCTCTTCTTGGAACGCGGTATGACACTACTTGGGATCTACTTGGGATTTGAGCTTTGTGCCAACCATACAAATCTATACATTCATCGTGGCAGGCTGAGTTGAGGCTTTGTAGTGCACAGGAGCTGCCCACTAGACATGGTCGTCCTTCACTGAACGTTCCAGAAGATTATGTTTCAGGAAGTGTGATCAGTCTGACGTGACATATACTGTACAAGGCGATTATCAAACGGTCAGTACGACAACAGGCAGTCTTCCACCGGGTGTGTTTACAAGTGTGATATTCATTTTGTTACATTGGATAGTGGGACGACAGATATCGTAGTGAGTACTAAGATATTATTCTCTACCATATGAATTGGTTGTTGGTTGTTGTTGAACGCCGTACTCAGCATTATTCCAACTATATAACGGCGGTCTGTAAATAATCGAGTCTAGACCAGACAATCCAGTGATCACTACCACATCAGCTATGGCGAGGCACAACGAGAAGCAGCTACGACAAGGTCGGGGACAAGGACAAGAACAAGGACAAAGGCGAGGACAAGGGCGGGGACAAGGTCGAGGACTGGGCCATGACGGTGAGGATCATGATATGTGTTGATTTCCTTGTTGTAACAAAAGAATAACGTTTATTTAAACCTCATGGGTGAGAGTTCCTTTGGAAAATAGTGAGTGAGTGAGTTAATAATATTTAACGTCACATTGGCAATGTTTCAGCCATATCGTGACGAAAACAACTTATACAATAAAGATGAAAACATTTTTAAGAGTAAAACCTGTCAACGATGGACAGTAAAAATACTATCACAGGTAGGAATATAAAACTAGCATGTAAAACTTAAACATTTTAATTAATGAAGACAATACAATATAAAACATGAACTATAGATCGCCAACAACTGAAGGTTGATCACCATACTAGGTCTTTGGAAAATAATTATTATATGAATTTTGAAGCATTGTGAACTTTCTTGTAAATCAAAGCATAAATCTGGCTCGATTTAACATCAATTTCAGCAATAAAAATACAAAAGTATGAAAACCATGCGTAGGCAAACATCTGTAAAGCGCTGGTGATCTAATACTTTGAAACGTCTGTGCAAAAGAATACCAGCCCTGACTGTCCTTAGAAACAGATTTCACTTGGTGTGAAGGGCAAAATAACTGAAAATTACACCATTGCTATCAGCGGTGACAAAAGGAAATGAAATGGATGTTTGAAATTATTTCCAATAATATGAAATCTAACATCATACACATGTGAAACATTACTTTATTACTTTGTCGATCTTAAATCCACAATCATCATTATGGTATAATTATGTGTCATTGGTACAGATCTGAGGTACATGCTTCAAATCCACGATGTTGGTGTGAGTGACGTCGGACATGCACTGGACACTGACCGAAGAGTGGAGGTGGTGCACAGGGACATACAAGATGAGGTTATCATTCCCAATAGGAGTCCAACGAGGGAGGCAAGTGGACATCCACTGGACAAGCGTACAGTAGAGGACATAGGTAGGACCAGCAGAAAGGACATTGGCAAAGGAAATGATGCAGATTTCAGATTCAATGAGACTAGCAAAAGATATGGTTCACAGGAAAACCATCGGATGCATTTAGTAAGGATGCGCAGATCTAGAAAAAGGCTCCATCCCGATAATAAGTCATCTGGACCGAGCTTCTTCCGAAATGATAGGAGCAGGTCACCGGATAGAGTCAGAAGAAAGAAACACAAATTGAATGTTGACAAAGGAGAAGATAATTCAACTAATCAAGGTTATCATAATCAAAGGGAGCCAGCTAGAAGGAACCTACCACCAGCTGAGATTGGAGCAAATATGCGAAAATACATCAAAGTTAACGAAAACGTCCAAGACAGGATGCAGTCTGGAACTCAGAGATACACAAATTGTGTAACCACAACCTCTGTTGAGCCATTGGACTCAGAAGAGAGATTAAAGTCATCAAGTACAGCAGAAAAAGAAGACCTGGCCAGTTTGATTCTTCGAACAGTATGTGTAGATTACCCTGGCATAACTGATTTAGCAAATTTGAGAAAAACTCTTCACCAGAAAAAGATTATCAATTTTTCCAACACGCAAACTTTATATGAATTCTTAAAACCTTATGACAACGTTTTTGAAATAGTAGGAGACATTGACAGAGATGAGAGAATGATTGAAGATGGTGAAGTGGAGGAAACAGCAGCTGAGGATAAGTTTCTTGTGACTGGTCATCCAAATCTACTCCTGTGTCAGCAACATTCAAAGAAAGCAGGATCATGCATGCAAGATTGCAGGAGCCTTCACATCTGCAAATATTTCCTTCTGAGCAAATGTACCATGCAAGAACAGAGAAAGACATGTATCTTTGGCCATGACATGAACACTGAACACAACAAAGAGGTTATGAGGAAATCGCTGTTGCACAAATTCAAAGATCTAATTGAAATTGATGTCCTGCGTTCACTGAGATATAGAAATTCCACAACTGTTCCAGCGATATGCAATTACTACAACAAGCCAAAGGGCTGCAACAACGCTGAATGCGGATTCATGCATGTATGTTCAAAATTTCTCCATGGAACTTGCAGTGCTTCATATATGTGCAATTTTTCTCATGATATTATGGCCATCCAACCGTTACATTGTCTTCAACGTTACGGAATAAGTCCATCGAAACATGATGAGAAAGAAGTTGTTGTCAAAACCCTTAAATCCATAGCAACCAAAAAGAATCACCCAGTCGATCAGGGAAGACAAGTTCAATCCTCAACTGAAACACAGAGGGGCATGTTCGCTGGTGGATACAACAAAACCATAGCCAAACCAAATAAACGGTATCAAGTCGCCAGGTATTTTTCTGCAATTGGATTTAGTACAAGTGGGGAAATGAAAGTATCAGAGAAGCTGACTAAAGCAAGAAACCAAAATGAACAGCTTCAGCTCGAAGTGAAAGAAAGACAGGAGGAGAAGGAAAAAGAAATTAATCTGAGGAATTCGTCGACAGGGGTTTGGACATGGTCATGGATGAGCCCAAAGGGAGCATGGAGCGATGTCACTGACAGTCAAATATTTGAGGCTAGATACAGAGAATATATGCAAGTTAGGAAGAGGAGCTTTGTTATCAATGGTAAAAAGTAAGTATAATTAACACAGTTGCTATTTTTACAGTTCTGGAATGTAAATATCTGGCGTGTCCTTGGTTTTTCTTAGTATGTGCTTTTGATGAAGAAGAAATAATTCAGACGTTAACACAACGCAAATGCCTATGCCGTTGATCGTGTATACAGGTACATTCACAAACTATTTAGGCTTTTTGAATTAAGGTTCCTGAATTAATGCTGGAATATTGCTAAATGGGCGTAACACCATACTCACTCACTCACTTGACTCAGTGAATTAGTCATTACGGCGTGTCAGATCAAGAACAGGCACAAGGACCCCTGAATGGTCCCCTCAATCTACCCAGCAGTGTGTCTGGTTGTGTAAACCGCTTATAGTAAACATTATGTTATGTCTTATAGATTTGCGTACTTCCAGGAGTAAACCACTTAACGTTATTATGAGATGTGAACGCCTTTTACATTGTGTCAATTCAATGAACTATTGTCGTGGTGACTTCTAACAATTTATGCATACAAAGGTTGCAGATGTTTCTGCAACATTTTAATAGCTGAAGTCATTCCAAAACAATTAGACCATGTTTCCATGTCTCAATGATTAGCCAGCTGGTGTTATCAGAGTATTCTGTTGAAGGTGTGAGGTGGACTTTGCCACAAAGACAGGCGTGATTGATGGGGAAGTTGCACTCAGATTCAAGAGAGACAGGAAGCCAGAGTGTGACACAAAGTGCCCTACGCCAGACATAACGGACAACAGCCATGACACCGATGTTGCTGGTTCTGATGCTGATGTTGCCACAAAGACAGGAGTGATTGATGGAGAAGATGCACTCAGTTTCAAGAGAGACAGGAAGCCAGACTGTGACACAAAGTGCCCTACGTCAGACATAATGGACGATAGCCATGTCACCGATGTTGCCGGCTCTGATGCGGGAGCTGATGTGGATGTTGCCACAAAGACAGGAGTGATTGATGGAGAAGATGCACTCAGCTTAAAGAGAGTCGTGAAGCCAGACTGTGACACAAAATGCCCTACGTCAGACATAATGGACGACAGCCATGTCACCGATGTTGCCGGCTCTGATGCGGGAGCTGATGTGGTTGTTGCCACAAAGACAGGAGTAATTGATGGAAAAGATGCACTCAGATTCAAAAGAGACAGGAAGCCAGAGTGTGACACAAAGTGCCCTACGCCAGACATAATGGACGATAGCCATGTCACCGATGTTGCCGGCTCTGATGCAGGTGCTGCTGTGGATGTTGCCACAAAGACAGGAGTGATCGATGGAGAAGATGCACTCAGATTCAAGGGAGACAGGAAGCCAGACTGTGACACAAAGTGCCCTACGCCAGACATAATGGACGATAGCCATGTCACCGATGTTGCCGTCTCTGATGCAGGTGCTGATGTGGTTGTTGCCACAAAGACAGGAGTGATTGATGGAAAAGATGCACTCAGCTTCAAGGGAGACATGAAGCCAGACTGTGACACAAAGTGCCCTACGTTAGACATAACGGACGACAGCCATGTCACCGATGTTGCCGTCTCTAATGCGGGAGCTGATGTGGATGTTGCCAGAAAGACAGGAGTGATTGATGGAGAAGATGCACTCAGCTTCAAGAGAGTCGTGAAGCCAGACTGTGACACAAAGTGCCCTACGTCAGACATAACGGACGACATCCATGTCACCGATGTTGCCGGCTCTGATGCGGGTGCTGCTGCTGATGTTGAAACACCTTCCCTCTGAAACACCATAGATAAAGTTCATTTTTTCCACACGTCCTCACTTAACCATCGCGTGTTTGCCATAAGCTTCAAGAAGTTGTATAATATATATAATATATACATAGGTTTATTTCAAAGAGTAGACAAACTGGGAGTAATCAGCTATACAAGTAGTACATTATTAAGTGTAGGGGTGCTTCATTATATATATGTGTTGATGAGTACTCATACTGGGAGTAGTCATATAACGGGAAGATACCCACAAGGTAGTATCTGTGTGTTGTTCTATGAAGCCATATCACATAAAAATGATAGAACTCTGGATCATTCGCAAATTGTTGCGATGCGACATTTCTGACAATATTTCTGTCATCACTCGAGCCTGAACTCGGTCACCAGTGTTATGCCCTTGGTGGTAAAAAACGATGCTTTTTCAATGCTTCTGTATTCTCGAACCATCTACTATACAATATCACGTCTTGGTGTAGTTAGGTAACTTATTCCATGGGCTATTAATTCTAATGTTTTAAATGCCTACATACCTATCAGTGAAACAATTTATTAATGAAACAATAGGCGAGAGCTTTCAATACAACTGAGAGCTCATGAGAGGTAATTAATGACAGATGGTCGGATTGGGGTGTGCTGATGGTTATAGCCCGGGAAAGCCACTTCTAAGAAAATCAGAGTTGAAAATGATGTGGCTCAACCGGCAATGGGCATGGTTGAGTGATCGTGTGAATGTAGCTCTTCCGGCAATACGCTAGTACCTAATCCATGTTAGCGTAAATAATGGAGATTTTTTAATATCGCTCTAAATGAGCCGAATTAAGTCAAACTGAGTTGAAATTTGTGTCATGATGCTTATAAACATACACTCATTCACTTACAACTTCCAAAACATGAAAACTGAGCGAAACTAAACATTCTCGCCCATGGGCTGGATTTTACGAAAGAATTGTCCACAGTGCGGAGAGTTTTTGAACTTTTGTGAGTCCTGAATGAAATTGTGACGTGTTATATAACTATGCATATAATATTAATCAGTCAATTCATATGGCGCAGAATCCACACCGACAGCATGCACATAGCATAAGATTATTATTACCCCGGATAACCCAAGCTGCCTGTGAGGCTAGAAGGTTAATAGTCACATGACTTACCCCACCGGGTACCAATTTTCCGCTGGGTGAACAGAGGCAATGTTGAAAAAAACCCACTTGCCGAAAGTGAGACCACATGTATCACTGAAGTCCTTGAATCTGAATCTGAAGGTGAAGACTAGCTGAAGTTGTTGTTTACTAACACTTTGTTTATAACGTTGGGGACATATTTATGTAAATTCCTGAAACTCGCAGTAATCATTCAGGGTGAAGATAAATATAAAGGCGGGAACGAGTTAATGGCCATGGTCAACCCCGGACGAATAATGAAACAAATAATATTATGTGGCTTTTACTGTTAACTCAACCAGAGGAGAAGACACCACGCGGATGACGTCACTTATGGCGTTAAATGTTGACGTCAGCATTCCTTCTGTGAGCCAGCAGATATGATTCATCGACTCTTTACTTGACGCCTGCTTCTTGAAGAACAAGAATATGTTATAAGTTCTAAAATACCCAGAGAACTGAATATTTTCAGGAACCTAACTTGAAGTTGACGCGGCGGCTTGAAATACGACAGAATAAACAGTATAGAAACACGGAATATTTTGTTTTTGTTTGCTTTAAACTAAACCAATCTCTAGGTGAGTTAATATATTCATTGGATCGAGCAAATCAGTGAGTTATCCCTTGACATGAGAAATGCAAAATATGGATTTACAGTTGTGCAGTCAAATGTATTTTGCTGATACAATCACAAACTATCATGTCTCAAAGTCACAACATTAGACAATAGTGAGTGAGTGAGTGATAGAGTATGGTTTTAAAACGCTTTTAGAAATATTCCAGCAATATCATTTCGGAGGACACCAGAAATGGGCTTCACACATTGTACCCATGTGGGGATTCGAATCTCGGCCTGACTACCGAACGCTTTCACCAATAGGCTACACCACCGCCGCCACAAACTTGTGGAGATACTTTGTGCGTGTGAGGTTTCTTTATCAAGACAAATGAGCTCTACGTTAGAGTACATGAAATACACTTAATATATTTTGTGTCCGAAAATGTTCAATAGTATACTCTGCAATACAGAAACGCAAGAGTCGAAAATTAGAAATACGTGAGTTTTGCTGATGTTCATACACCATGAATACTAAATATGAACTTCTCATGTGTGCATGTATCGGGAGTGAATGGGAGTAGAACAAAAGTACGGCTAAAAATACTGTTAAAGTGGGTGAATCGCGAAAACGCAACCACGAATTTGGTGTTTACGCCGCTTTTAGCAATATTCCAGCTACGTCACGGCGGGGGACACCAGAAATAGGCTTCAGACATTGTATCCATGTGGGGATTCGAACCCGGGTCTTCGGCGTGACGAGCCAACGCTTTAACCACTAGGCTACCCCACCGCCCCACACCACCATGAAAGTAACGTGCAACATGAATGTATTGGCTATTAAAGCTATGGGTTTTCATGTGCCTGTCATCACAACTGCACAGCAAGGGAAAGGGTGAACATGCCACGACTGACAGAAGCCGACTGCAGATAGGCGACTCTTCTTCGGCCGTTGCCACTTTTCTGCAGGAATCATCAAAAACTAAGAAGCCCTTACCAGACGCAGGGGTCAACACGTCACAACAAAGAAACAAACAAATTCCCCACCAACTTGACTGTCTATTAGTCATTTAGACAGTGTCTGAACACGAACGGGTCACCATGACCTCTGAAGGGTCCCCTCAATCTACCTAGCAGTCCAGCAGGCACATCAACGTTGTTTCAACGTTGAGAATAGGTTGATCCTCAACGATGAAAATAGGTTGTATATGAAAGTTTTTTTGACGTAGATATCCGACGTAGAATCAACGTTGAAGTTTGACCGATTATCAACGTTGAGAATAGGTTGATCCTCAACGTTGAAAATAGATTGAAAATAGGTTGTATATGAAAGTTTTTTTGACGTAGATATCCGACGTGGAATCAACGTTGAAGTTTGACCGATTATCAACGTTGAGAATAGGTTGATCCTCAACGTTGAAAATAGGTTGTATATGAAAGTGTTTTTGACGTAGATATCCGACGTGGAATCAATGTTGAAGTCTCACATATTATTAACGTTGAAAATGGGTTGTTCCGTGGTTGTGTCTGGGAGGTATTACGCTTTCCTGTAAATAGGCTCGCACTTCATCTTTTAACTACAATAAAGTAGCACCAAACTCCTGCATCCAGCTAAAATACCCAAAAAGCTACATGCAATAAACAGTGTTCAAACAGAAAATTGCAGTAAAAATATTTACCTGATAAAATACTTGGTTAAAATTCCACATTCAATATAATGTTCACTTAAGTTTTATGGCGTATAATTCCAAAAAGAAGAAAAGAGTATTCCAAATTAAGAAAAACTATTTACTGTTGTATTGTTACCTTGAAAAGGTGAAAATTGTCCCGAGAAGACATTTTCTCTGAATTTCAGCTCTTAGACAGACCCCTGAATAAACACGTAGACAGACCCCTTACTTTCACCATGAAAGGCATCCAAGATGACCAGGAACTATACCTGAAGACAGCACATAAAACAAGTCACTTTTCATGAAATCTTTATGAACACACACGCACACAGAAAACGTGGTTTAATGCATAATGTAAAACATCGCACATGACATAGTCTGTAGGTGATCTCTGTTGTGCTAATAACACAATATCATCTGCATATAGCATCAAAGTGACATTTACGCCACCAATTTCAATACCACAGTTCAGATTTTTCAACACAATTACAACTCCAAAAACACAATTATCAGCTCCTCTTCTTTCTGCCACTCCCTGCCTGGCGGTCAGGTGGATACTTCAGAAACGTTCCTAACTCTTTCTTGAAATTTGCTTCGATGCATTCCCATCTCATTCCCTTGAGATAGGACACATTCTGAAATTTTATATTGAAATACATGAATAAGTTATATGGAAGATATATTGTCTTAAATGATTCAAGTATTTGTTTAATCAATCACTTGAAAGGTTCATTTCATTGCTGTAACTTGGCATGTGAACATATGAACAGCATCAATACAAAATATGAAGAAAAGTGTAAACAATTTATATTTTCAACCGAAGGAATGGAAGTTTTCTTAAACATTTTCAAAGAAAATCCTCAATTGCAAGTTGATTATTTAATTAGACTATGAATTACCGGTAGGATGAATTAGACGATGCTTTACTGTCATATATTATTGGCTATGGTCATGATGAAAATGCTGCACTTGGTAATTAACTTACCAGAGATGATTGAATACAACCTTGTATTCTTAAAAGAAAACTTGCCGTTTTGCCCATCAACATTCATTCTTGACATCAAATTGTTTGACATTGTCCTGCAAAACAATGGAAGATTGTTGTCATTCTGTCAGATTTAGTTTTTTTTAGAGATTCTCGGAAATGATTATTTCAAATTAATAGGAGTTGAACTGATGTAGCAATTTTGCTACCAGGAGTCATAAATTGTAACAAAAGCCATTTTACATTAAATGATAAGAAAACAAAATGGGTGGTGGTTCACAGGTCAAAGAACAAGTCTATTGTGGGAGGTCTCCCAACACCATTTGTTCCCAAACACAAGGAAGTATGGATCATGGAGTTCTGAAAACAATAATGAGCTCTCATAAGTATACAATATATTCTCTATTATCTACTCTCTCTCTCTTTGTCATTTGTACACTCATAAAACTCAGATAAATAACTTTTTTATAATTCATAAATGTTTACACTTAATCTCTTATAGGAACGCTTAGAAAATCTCTCATATAATGAATTATGTGTGCGTATTATCTGCGACGTCATAACTATGCTTCTCTGAATCATGAGCAATCAAATAATGAGATTA